TTGCTGAGTAGTACTCCATTGTGTCAATGTACCACATTTTCTTTATACATTCTATAGTTGAGGGGCATCTGGGTTATTACCAGGTTCTGGCTATTACGAATAATGCTGTTATGAACAAAGTTGAGCAAGTGTCCTTGTGGTATAAGTGTGCCTTCTTTGGCTATATATCCAAAAGTGGTATTGCTGGGTCATGAGGTAGACTGATCCTAATTTTCTGAGAAACCGCCATAGTGATTTCCAAAGTGGCTGTATAAGTTTGCACTCCCACTAGCAGAGGAGGAGTGTTCTCCTTTCTTCACATCCTCCACATAAGGTGCCATCAATGTTTTTTATCTTAACCATTCTGACAGGTGTATGATGGTATATCAAAGCTGTTTTGATTTGCATTTCCCTGATAGCTAGGATGCTGAACAATTTATTAAATGTTGTTCAGGCATTCACAGTTTTTTTTTTCTGTTGAGAATTCTCTGTTTAGATCAGACTCCATTTTTTAATTGGATTATTTGGTATTTTGGTATTTAGTTTCTTAAGTTCTTTTTGTATTTTGGAGATCAGCCCTCTGTCAGATGTGGGGCTGGTGAAGATCTTTTCACATTCCAAAGTCTTCCATTTTGTCTTGTTGACCATGTCATTTGTCTTACAGAAACTTTTCAGTTTTAGGACTTTCTGTTAATTAATTCTTTCTCTCAGTGCCTGAGGTACTGGGGTTATATTTAGGAAGTGGTCCTTTGTGCCAATGTGTCCAAGTATACTTTCTCTTCTATGATGTTTAGTATGTTGGATTTATGTTGAGGTCTTTGATCCATTTAGACTTGCGTTTTGCGCATGGTATACAAATAGAGATGGATCTATTTGTATTCTTCTACATGCTGATGTCCAGTTATACTAGCACCATTTGTTGAAAATGCTTTCTTTTTTTTTTAGCTCATAGTTTCAGAGTTTCTGTAAAAAATCAGGTGTTCATAGGTATGTGGATGGATATCCAGGTCTTTGATTTGATTCCATTGGTCAACCTGTCTTGCTTTATGCCAATACCAAGCTGTTTTCATTACTGTAGCTCTGTAATCACGCTTGAAGTCAGGGATGGTGATACCTCCAGAAGTTCCTTTATTGTACAGGAATATTGTTTTGGCTCTCCTGGGTTTTTTGTTTTTCCATATGAAGTTGAGTATTGTTCTTTTAAGGTCTGTGAGGAACTGTGTTGGGATTTTGATGGGGATTGCATTGAATCTGTAGATTGCTTTTGGTAAGATTAGCATTTTTACTGTGTAATCCTATCTATACAAGAGCATGGCAGATCTTTCCATTTTCTGGTGTCCTTTTCAATTTCTTTCTTGAAAGACTTAAAGTTCTTGTCATGAAGGTCTTTTACTTGTTTGGTTAGTATTACCCCAAGATATTTTTTGTTGTTTGTGGCTATTGTGAAGGGTGATGTTTCTCTGATTTCTTTCTCAGCCCATTTATCATCTATATATAGGATGGCTACTGATTTCTTTGAGTTAATCTTGTGTCCTGCCATATTATTAAAGGTGTTTATCAGCTGTAGAAGTTTCCTCATAGAATTTTGGGGGTCACTTATGTGTACTATGATGTCATCCGTAAATAGCAAGAATTTGACTTCTTTCCTTCTAATTTGTATCTCCTTGATCTCCTATTGTTGTCTTATTGATCAAGCTAGCACCTCAAGTACTATAATGAATAGATATGGAAAGAATGGACAGCATTATTTTGTTCCTGATTTTCGTGGGATTGCTTTGAGTTTCTTCTCTCCATTAAGTTTGATGTTAGCTATTGGCTTTCTATATATTGTCTTTATTATATTTAGGAATGTTTCTGGTATTCCTGATCTCTCCAAGACCTTTATCATGAAGGGGTTTGGAATTTTGTCAAAGGCTTTTCATAGTCTAATGAGATTATTATGTGTTTTTTTCTGTTTGTTTATGTTATTGATTACTAAAAGCTTAAACTGAACATTACTAAAGCTTAAATTGTTCCTCAAATCCCATATACTAATAGTGGGACATTTCAACACTCTACTCTTACCATAGGACAGGTCTACCAAACAGAGACTTGATAGAAATAAAGGAACTAACATGTCATTTCTCAAATGAGCTTAATAGACATCTATAGAACATTACTCTCAACCCTAAGAGTCCATCTTTTTCTCAGTACCCCAATGGAGCCGACTCTAAAATTGACCTCAAACTCAATAACAGACAAACCTTAACAGATACAAAAAATTGTAATAACCCCCTGTATCTTATCAGATCACCATGACTTAAAAGTTAGAATTCAACAACACTAACTGCAGAAAACCCACAAACTCATAGAAATTGAGCAATGTTCAAGTGAACCACCACTGGGTCAAAGAAGAAATAAAGAAACACATTAAAGACTTCCTAAACTTATGGGACAAAATGAAAGCAGTCCACAAAGGAAAGTTCATAGCACTAAATGACTACATAAAGAAGTTGGAGAAAATCTCATACTAGTGAAATAACAGAACATATGAAAGCCCTAGAACAAAAAGAAGCAAACTCACCCAGGGGCAGATGACAGCAAATAATCAAACTGAGAGCTGAAATCAATAAAATAGAAACAAAGAAAACAATAGAAAGATTCAATGACACAAAGAGCTGGTTCTTAAAAAAAAATCAACAAGATAGACAAACCTTTATCCAAACTAACCAAAGGCCCAGAGGAATACACAAATTAGCAAAATCAGAAATGAAAGGGGGAACATAACAAGAGACACAGAGGAAATGTAGAGAATCATCAGGTCATACTTCAAAAACTTACTCCACTAAATTGGAAAATTTAAAGGAAATGGACAATTTCCTGGATATGTTCCACACACCAAAATTGAATCAAGACCTGATAAACAAATTAAATAGACCTATAACCCCTAAGTAAATAGAAGCTGTCATCAAAAGCCTCCCCCACCCAAAAAAGCCCAGGACCAGATGATTTCAGTGCAAAATTCTATCAGAATTTCAAAACAGAGTTACTACAAATACTCATCAAATTGTTCTACACAATAGAAACTGAAGGAGTATTACCAAACTCTTTTTACAGTTACCCTGATAACCAAGTCACAGAAAGGCACAACTAAGAAAGAGAATTACAGACCAATTTTCCTCATGAACATTGACAGAAAAATACTCAACAAAACCCTGGCAAACTGAATCCAAGAATACATCAGAAAAATTATCCACCGTAGTCAAGTAGGCTTCCTCCCAGAAATACAGGGGTAGTTCAACATACAAGATATGTCAGTGTAATCCACCACATAAGCAGTTAGAAATTATACAGGTTTAGGAAAGTTGTGGTCATACATTGTCCTCTGGGGTCACAGGCCTCAGCAGGATCAGTTTATAGTGTCTGGAATAAACTCCCTTCTGTTAAGCAGGCCTTAAATCCCGTTAGATGACTGTTGCTTATCCTCAGTACCAATATTACACCTTGATTGCTTTTTTCCTTGGGCAGCTTCCATAGCTTCTTGTAGTATTATGAGAATTAATACTTAGGAAGGAGGCTTCCAAGTCAGATTTAACTGATTTCTCCTGTATCTTAAGTGTCTGTTGTCTTTAGCAATAGGATTTTACTTTCAATTTCCTGGAGGCAACAAAGGGCAATGGTACTAATTTATATCATTAGGGTGCTTTTGGGATTCCTTTGACCAACGACTCAAAAAAAAAAGGTTTCCCAGTCCTGGCACTGAAGTTTTCTTAGATGTTTATGGCTTTTGGGGGAGCATTATCATCCTAAGTGCTATAAGTTCATTTAAACTATATACATTTGTAATTTATATATACACAATTTTAAAGTAAATATAAAATAATATGATTCCTTATGGCCTTTTCAAATCTTTGGTGTTCTTTATCCCTCCTCTCTGAATTAGCTTCACTCCCCCCTCTTCTGGTCAGTCCCCCCTCCATTTTTTTCTGTTTCTCCTTCATAGCATCTTCAATGCAGCAGTGCTTGGAGGCAAAGGCAGGTGGACCTCTGAGTTTAACTCCAGTCTGGTTTACACAGAAAGTTACAGGCCATCGAGGGTTACATAGGAAGATATTGGACAGGGGGAAGGGATATTATTGCTTTTGACATGGACAACCAATTATTCATGACACCCACATGGCTGCCTCAGTCAGGTAGATATCAAGATTTCATATGAGTGTGAGATTCCTTCTGGGGTGTCCATTCTGTATCCTTGGCATATTTCTGTTCTGATTTCACATTATATTCCTTAGTGCACATTTATAATAAATGCTGATAGCTAACAGGCAGTGAGCACTATCTGAATTATTATCTTTAGCATTTGTCTTAAGCGTTTTCAATGACAAAACATGTTTTAAAACAACATGCTTCAAAAACAGCATATTTTATATGATAACTATTAACAATTTTGACTTCAATTAAAAATAAAGGAGAGAAATTACAAATATACTCATAGACATATAATATATATCTAATGTAATTTTTCTTGGGATTGCATTGGACATATGTAGAAGAATTTGGGATTTTTCAGATTAGTTTTATTTACTTTTCTAGTCATCAGAGATTATCCATTTATTAATATGTCAACTTACTATTCTTTCTCTTATCTCAGGCTTTTATTGGTTGTTTTATATTGACATACTAATGAAGGTATTTCCACAATAAATTCATTGTTTAGGGTTAATCTAGAATTAACATTTTTCAAAATAGCAATAACATTCATTTCAGGACATTTAGTAGAAGCAGAGACCTCTGCTCTGTGTAACAGCTCTGGCTGTCCTGGAATTTGCTTTATTAGACTAGGCTGGCCTTGAACTCACAGAAATCCTTTTGCCTCTGCCTACTGAGTGCTGGGAAAAGACATGAGTGACCACTGCCTATCTCTGTATAGATACTTACATGACGTTTTCTGTTTAAATAAGAATAACCAGTTTTTAGGTTGTTTCCTTTGTCAACCTGCTTATATATTCATACAATAAATATATCCTCCAATTGCTTTGTAGATGGCAAAATGCTAATCAGTGAAAGAGCCTATTGCTGGCCACGAGGAATTGCTCAAAGTAGATCCGAAGGAAATTTGGTTGACATGGAAGTCTCAAAACTCTCAAAAAATCATATTACAGGTACAAGAATTTATAATATGGTAATGTTGCTGTGTAATTAAGTCAAATGATTTTCTATACATATGGAATGTTTGCCTCTAAAAATTGCTATAGAAGATATACAAAATTCTCAAGTACAAGTGCTATCAGAAATAGAATAACATTAAAGATAAATGCTTTCTTTTTAAATTGATTTTATTGAGCTTTGCTCCCCTCTCTGTCTCTCCTCTCCCTTTTAATCCTCTCCCATGGCCCGCATGCTCCCAATTAATAAGGAGATCTTGTTTTTTTTCTACTTCCCATGATAATTAGATCCATGTATGTTTCTCTTTGGGTCCTCATTGTTGTCTAGGTTCTCTGGAATCATGATTTGTAGGCTAGCTTTCTTTGTTTTATGTTTAAAAACCACTTATGAGTAAGTAGATATGATAATTCTCTTTCTGGTTCTAGGTTACCTCACTCAATACGATCTTTTCTAGCTCCATCCATTTGCCAGCAAATTTTGAGACATTGCTATTTTTTCTGCTGTGTAGTACTCCATTGTGTAAATGTAGCACATTTTCCTTATCCATTCTTCAGTTAAGAGGCATTTAGGTTGTTTCCAGGTTCAGACTATGACAAACAATGCTGCTATGAACATAGTTGAGCACATGTCCTTGTGGCACGATGGGGCATCCTTTGGCTATATACCCTAAAGTGGTATTACTGGGTCTTGAAAAAGGTTATTTCCTAATTTTCTGAGAAATCGCCACACTGATGTCCAAAGGGGCTGTACCAATTTGTACTCCACCAGCAATTCAGGAGTGTTTCTTAACCCCACATCCTCTATAGTATAAGTCATCCATAACACAAGTTGTCATAACTTGGCCATTCTTACAGGTGTAAGATGGAATCTCAGAGTTGTTTTGATTTGCATTTCTCTGATGACTAAGGATGTTGAGCATTTCCTTAAGTGTCTTTCAGCCATTTTAGACTCCTCTGTTGAGAGTTCTCTGTTTAGGTCTGTACTCCATTTTTATTGGATTATTTGTTCTTTTGATGACCAATTTCTTGAGTTCTTTGTATATTTTGGAGATCAGACCTCTGTCTGATGTGGGGTTGGTGAAGATCTTTTCCCATTCTGTAGGCTGTCATTTTGTCTCATTGATCATATCCTTTGCTTTACAGAAGCATCTCACTTTCAGGAAGTCCTATTTATTAATTGTTTCTCTCAGTATCTGTGCTGCTGGGATTATATTTAGGAAGTGGTCTTCTGTACCAATGCATTCAAGTGTACTTCTCACTTTCTCTTCTATAAGGTTCAGTGTGGCTGGCTTTATGTTGAGGTCTTTGGTCCATTTGGACCTGAGTTTTGCTCATCGAGAGAGAGATGGATCTATTTTCATTCTTCTACATGTTGATATCCAGTTATGCCAGAACCATTTGTTAAATATGTTTTCTTTTTTCCATTTAATATTTTTTGCATCTTTGTTAAAAATTAGGTGTTCGAAGGTTTGTAGATTAATATCCAGGTCTTTGATTAAGTTCCATTGATCTTTCTGTCTATTTTTATGCCAATACCAGGCTGGTTTCAGTACTGTAGCTCTGTAGTAGAGTTTGAAGTCAGGAATTATGATACCTCCAATGTTTCTTTTATTTAGGGTTGTTTTGGCTATTCTGGGTTTCTTGCTTTTCCATATAAAGTGAAGTATTGTTCTTTTGAGGTCTGTAAAGAATTTTACTGGGATTTTGATGGGCCTTGCATTGAATCTGTAGATTGCTTTTGGTAAGATTGCCATTTTTACTATGGTAATTTTACCTACCCAAGAGCATGGGAGATCTTTCCACTTCTGGCGTCTTCTTCAATTTCTTTCTTCAAAGATTTAAAGTTCTTGTCATACAAGTCTTCCCCTTGTTTGGTTAGAATTACTCTGAGATATTTTATGCTATTTGTGGCTATTTTGGCAGTTTCTCTGATTTCTATCTTGGCCTATTGATAAGTGCTTTCTTTATAAAGTACAGTTATTAGTGTGCTAGGGCTAGAGAGATGCCTTTGTGTATGAAATGCTTGCCATTAGGCATGAAGACAAGACTTTATTTTGCCTTAATACAGTAAATACCAGGCATGGGTATTCATCTGTAGTTCCAGTGCTAGGGGATCAGAGACAGGGAGATATCTGGAGCTTACTGCCCAGAAAATCAGTGAGCTCTAGGTTCAATGAGAGACCCTGTCTCAAAATATAAGGTGAACCTTGATAGAGGGAAACACCTGATGTTGACATCTGTTCTCCACATATAGATGTAATTGTATACATACCTCCCGCACAGGTACTGTGCGCATGTGCGCCCGTGTGTGCACACACACATGTACCACATACACACACCACACACATGCCCCTCACACACATGCACACACATAAACCACATGCACATGCACCCACATACATGCACCACACACATGCCCCATAGACACATGCACACATATATCACACACACAAATATAGCATATTGACAGATTACAATAAATATCATTAATTTATAAATTCATTAATAAACAAATAGTATGTCCTGCAAATGTTGTGAACTTGAGGGTGACAAGCAGGGACTGATGCAGCCTAGTAATTTTTATGGTGCAGAATCCAATTGACCTGATGCTCATAGTAAAAAATGAGTTTTGAGAGAGTTGGGGTAGATGAATAGAGGATGTGTGATAACAAGTGAAATACTCTTTCTGTTTTTCAAAATCCATTTTATACCTTTTAATAAGCAACATAACTTACTTAAAGCAAAATAAAACCTTCATTAGGAAAAAAGTAACAGTTTTCTGAAACTCTTGTTTCTAGAAAACTTCCAATGACTCAGTTGTCCCTGTGGCTTTCATTGTCCCTATAGCAGTATCAACTGTGCATGTCTTCATGTTTGTGACTAGTCATTAGACTAGTAGAAAGAGGCAAACAAAAGCCACTCTAAACATAAAATGACCTTGATTACATTGTTTTTATGTGTTCCTCAAGCCCTTTCCAGAGAAACAGTGAAGTGTTTCTGTTTCTAGTGGCATCCCATATTTTACCATTACAATTTTTCAGAAGTTCAATGAATTCCTGCAGGCAGTAATTTCACTGTCAATCTGGTTTTTCAATGTGTCTTTCACACACATTCAAAAAGTAATGTTGTTTATTAATGCAGTGTTGCCAGAAATTAATTAATTAATGACAATTTTAACTTACAAAGTAGTTTTGAAAACTACTCAATTTCATAAGGGTATGTTTGACATTCCTTAGATTTTATTTGAAAAGAAAGACTTTAAATTAATTTTTTGGATATAATGAGACCAACAGCTCAATGTTTAGAAAAATTATGGATGTTGGCTACTTTTTTTCAGTGTTTATTTAGGTAAATGAAACATAAAATACTTAGAAATAACTTTATGTAAGTAAAGTAAATGTGTTAAATGTGTTATTAATGTGTTGTTATAAATAATTATATACTGTACTCAACATACATTTACTTTATATTTCATGATCCTTTAAAATAGAATTAATGTATCTGTACTTACAATAACTTGGTATAAACTTCCCCTTTCCTCATTTTTAAATAAGTGGATATGGTTTTACTACTAAGCTTGTAGTGGAGAACAGCATCAAACATCAAAGCCTAAAGGAAGTTTTGAATTTGTAACCTATGAATAAATTAATCATGGTTTTATCTCAGATTCCCACTTATTTTTTTCTTTGCATTGTTTTTGCTTAAATAACAAGCATGCCAAGGGTTAGACTTGCCTCACAACTGGACAGAAGCTTCTACTCACCATGGTGATAGTGTTGCCAAAGGAACTATCTGCTTCAAACCCATTTCTGGAGGACATCACTAAGCTAAGAAAAAAGCAAAAGAGAGATAATATGTCCATTTTGAAGGAAGATCCTTTTCTTTTTTTAAAACAAATTGAAACAGGGAATTCTTTTGATTCCTCTGAAGATGAACTTGACATGGATCAGATGCTTAGGCCATCTTCCTCAAGGAAGTCGGAAAGGTCTAAGAGTGTTTCAGAAGTCCTGGACATCTTACATGATACGTCACATGCTCATCAGAGTATACACCACTCTGACCAAATCCTAATACAAGACTTAGAGTGTCTTCAAAATGACCGAGAAGCATACAAAATGGCTTGGTTAAGTCAACGTCAGCTAGCGCACTCTTGTATGGATCCGAATATAATTAATCAAAGTCCTGGATGGGCTCAAACACAAATTGCAGAGACCATTGCAGTTTGTAAATTAAACCACCAAGGAGGGTCAGTTCAGTTACCTGACTCAGACATCATTGTTCATGTACCCCAGGGAAACATAGCCATAGGAGAATTCCAGGAGGTATCTCTGAGAGCATTTCTGGATCCACCACCAAAGCTGAACCATAATCTCTCCTGTACTGTTAGCCCTCTTTTGGAAATAAGGTTAAGCAACCCTAAAACCATAAGAGCTATTTTGCTGGAGATGAAAATTGGAGCAGAAGTAAAAATAGATCCCCTGAGCCAAGTCATGACAAAAATGGTGTGTTTACACAGCCTGGACAGAGAAGGCCCTTTCCAAGCACTGAACAACTGCTAGGTCTACAAAGACACCATCCAAGCAAAATTTCTTGATCTGAGCCACGTAATGTACATAGTCATAGCTGTACAACTTGAGGCCATTCAGCCACCAGCTGCTACTATTTGGAATTATATTCACAAAAGCACTTCCATTGGAATTTATGGGCCCAAATATATCCATCCAGGTTTTACTGTTGTTTTTGTAGTTTGTGGGCACAATTATGTGCCAGGAAAGTTTGCAGTCTCTGACATTAGGACGGGTGGAAAAAATACATCTCCAGTAGTATTTTATCTCTGGGGAAAGCATTCATGGTTACTTGGCAAGCCACAAGATTTAATTATTTCAGCTTTTTCATGTGATCCTGATTTTGAAGTAAAGATAGAGAGAGAAAGACAAATAATTGCACAAAGGCAATTGGAAGCAGGTGCAGTCATCCATCAACAAGTTTTCTTTTCTTCAGTTGACCACAGAGAGATGCACTCATTTGTTTTCCGGGTTCATGCAGGGTCTCTGGATGGAAAACCAGTCACACAATTCTTTGTCACTTCACCTGATCCAGCCACAAACCTCAAAATGCTCTTAGATCTGCAGAGCTACTTCCAGGAGAGAAAAAGCAAGAAAGTGCCTTTGTTATCAACAGGGTTTATCAACTACCCCACTTTCCAAGTTAAAAAAGTAAAATTCACCAATTATGGGATCACAGTGAAGACGGTACTGAGGCAAAGTAAAATTGACTACTTACTTGAGTATTTAAAGGGGGATATAATTGCCCTTCTTGGAGAAGGCCCAGTAAGAGCCATTGGACAGTCCAAAGTGAAAGAGTGGTATGTAGGTGTCCTTCGAGGTAAGATTGAACTTGTACATTGTAAAAATGTCAAGGTGATTTGCAAAGAACAAGTAATGTCTATATCTGATAGTATTTTGACAACCAAGAATCTTTTGGAGCAAATTGCCTTGCCATTTAAAAATCTGACTTATATATCCTCTGTTGTATTGACTCTGGTGTCAGAAAACATTTATGATTGGAAAATTTTAGCTAATGTCCTAGACTACTCACATCTGGCACAGGAAGATTTTGATCAAATTCAAGCAGACAACGAACCAGAAAGGGTTTCTTATATTGTCAAGAAATTAAAGGAAGATTGCCATAAAGACAGAAGTACCAGGAAGTTTATTTATGAACTGATTGTGGTGAGTATTGGTTGATAATAATAATTTATTTTAGAGAACTTCAATAACTTGATGATATTTACAGCAAGCATTAGATGTGAAATGAAAAACTAGTAGTCTCAAATCCATTGAAGTCCTGAACAACTTTTCCTGCAAGGTCATAGCACTGGAGTCAATCGTGATTTTCTCAGAAAAGAGGTCTATAAGGATCATCTTTTAAGAGATTTTAAAGGTTGTGTTTTTGTTGGAACTTTTGTTTTAAATTTAAGAGATTAACTCTTTTTTTCTCAAATATTTGGACAACCCTTCAAGTATCATATAAACTCCATAACATGAACATAAAGAAAACCATAGCATAAAAGTAAAAAAAAAACAAAAAACAAAAAAACAAAACAAAACAAAAATACCTGATCTTATACAGGGTTATTTTTCAATGTTTCTTTCCTTCAAATACATAAGTATTATCCATTATTTCATCAGTTTAATGTTCTTTTGTACAGAATGCTGCATGATCCAGCAATGCTTCTACCAACACTGTATTTAATATGCTAATAGAATTCTCAAGGGTCAACTCTTTTGAGCATGTACTTTCTCAGTTAAAAACCTTGTAGAGATTATAAATAATTGGATTTAAAGCAGAAATCAATGTTATAGTAACAAAGTATCAGGATGACATTTTTTTTTAAACATTTATTTACTTATTATGTATACAGCATTCTGCCTCCATGTATGCCCGCACGCCAGAGGAGGGCACCAGATCTCAGTACAGATGGTTGTGAGCCACCATGTGGTTGCTGGGAATTTAACTCAGGACCTCTGGAAGAGCAGCCAGTGCTCTTAACCTCTGAGCCATCTCTCCAGCCCGAGGATGACATTTCTAAAGAAGATAAAAATATGAATGTAGCTAATTCTTCCTAAATGCTAAATTCTAATACTGTCTTCAAATAGCATGTGAGTGTGTGTGTGGGGGGGGGCATAAAATGTTTTTGTAAGTAAATGTTAGTAAGTGTACTGAGTAGTATAAATATGAAAACAGTACTCATATGTCTGAAAATGATGAATAAGGCAGTGGGTAGAGACACATTAAAAAGTAAGTTTTAGTAAAGCTGGAAGCAACAAAGAGAAAATGGTGGATGAATTCAATATATAGCATTAATAATAATTTGCATGTTAAAAAAATTATTCTACAATGACACCAAGAACAGTAAAACTTGAGAGTTATAATGTCTAGTTGGTGAGTGGAGAGTTTTATTATGATATGCTCTGTGCTTAGTGACTATGGGCTCCGGTGACTGAATACTAGAAGTTTTCCTACTCAGTATAAGCTACACATTGATTTTGTAATTGTTTCTTTTTGTAACTCAGATGTACAGTAGAGATGTTAAAAAAACTACAAACAAAATGTTACTTTCTTTTCTTACTAGCTCAAAATAAGTTATCATAGCCTCATGATCTGAAAGTTCAGGTCTTACCATACCTGTAGTTTGGGGAGGGCATAATAAATCATAGAATGCCTTGATTAGACAATGTTGATAGAGTGGCCCCTAATGGACCCCAAAACTATTATTAACCCTCAGTGATGCCCTTAAGACTCCCTTCTAAAAGAGGCTTAGGCCCAACCCTCTGTTAGCAAAGCAATTGAACCTTCTGTGATATAGAATTGTGTCTTCAAACACCCTTTGCATTAAGTGAAAACTTTTCTTGCTCTGTGTCTTGATATGTGAAATTGAAAAGTAAAGATAGATTGCTTTTGTCTCCTAATATGTGACATTTCTGAAAACCCTTCAGCATGTGATTTTATATTAGTTCTAAAAGATTAGGCACAATGATATTGTCTCCATATTCATTATACAAAACATTACAACAGTATAGCAAATACTTCTTATGAAATTGTACTTTGCCAGGGTAAAGCCATGCCACAAAAACTCAAGTGTACTTTGAAGACCTGCTGCCCTGGTATTTCTTCTCACTGTGGCCACCTTTGATCAGTATAAAAAGAGGGATCAATAGAACTTGTGTTTAGAGTCCAAACTGTTCTTTTAATTGTAGATTTCATAAGAATAAATATGATACATTTTTATTGGTGCCTTTTAAAATTAATTTAACTTTACTTATTCTTTCTCATGGGTAAATAAAACTCCTAGGTACCATTAAACATAAACAACTGCCAAGCATCTTTACCAACTTATTTACATATATATGTACATATCCATATATTTTAAAAATATACTCAAAGCAACAAAAAAGCTCTTAGGCTTGCCTGAAATGAATAGTAAGAGAGAAAGCTTAAGTGTCCAATAAATGAAGAAAGGGAATCTGGTAGCATTCCACTTTCACACTATGGAAGAATATTCACCTTTATTACTTTGTAATTTATGTGTTGTTGGGGTTTCTGTCTTGCCCGGGTCCCACAATTGTTAAATCCCAAAGAAATCACACAGAGGTCTACATTAACTATAAACTGATTGACCCATTAGCTCAGGCTTCTTATTAAGTCTTATAACTTATATTAGCCCATTATTCTTATCTGTGTTAGCCATGTGGCCCAGTACCTTATTCAGCGGGGCAGTCACCTCTTGATTTTTTCTGTGACTGGGGTCACACTGCCAACCAGGAGTTTCTTCTTCCCAGAATTCTCCTGTTCTCATTGACTGGCCTCTATTTCCTGACTGGTTGCCCCACCTATACTTCTTTCCTGGCTACTGGCTAATCAGCATTTATTTAAAATATAATTGAAGCCGCCGGGCGGTGGTGGCACACGCCTTTAATCCCAGCACTCGGGAGGCAGAGGCAGGCGGATCTCTGTGAGTTCGAGGCCAGCCTGGTCTACAAGAGCTAGTTCCAGGACANGGATCTCTGTGAGTTCGAGGCCAGCCTGGTCTACAAGAGCTAGTTCCAGGACAGGCTCCAAAACCATAGAGAAACCCTGTCTCGAAAAATAAATAAATGAATAAATAAATTAAAATATAATTGACAGAATATAAACCATTGTCCCACACCATTTATGTTAACAGAATCACATTAGAGGTGAGGGAGGCAGGTTATTTAAATTAAGAAATGTCTGTAACTTAGTTTAAAATTAAAGGAATATCTTGTGTTTACTCAATAAGCACGATTCTAAGAAAAATTTAAACCACATTTTGCTGAAATAGATCTGTGTTAATCCTCTGGTAAGACAAGGAATAAGCTTGAGGGGAGTGAGTAATTACCTCTAGGTTCAGAGATTATCAATTGCTGGAGCCTTAGGTACTGATAAAAGGGTTGATAGTGTTCCATTAGCAGTTAAAGTCATATATTAGTAATATGATTTACCCATGATCCCATAGCTATACTAAAGCTCCTTTATTTCTAGTATATATATCCACTGTGTTTGTTTGTTGAATTTTCCTAAATATAAACCACTGTTCTGAGTTTAAAAACCTTAACTATATGTGTGGTGTGAAAAGGTATTTTAATTTCTAGAATACATAATGCAAATTATAGTTTCAAGGAAAAAGTCAATGAGTTGTTTCTAAGCATTGTGGATACTCACTGCCATAGGCTCTGCTAAAGATGGATCACCAAGCATTAGTGGAACGTCTTCTCCAAGAGGCTGTTATTCTAACCTCAGCTGTTAAACTCGGAAGAAGCTGGAGGGAACTTGCTGAGAAATCTGCAGGACTCACTAAGCATCAGATGCAGGCGTATGAAATTCCTTACCGAGGAAAATCTGGAGATGTTTCAGCCGAGGTGAGATTTTCATATGTTCTATTCAGTGGTGACAAACTGTGGCCAAGTAGAGAAAATGTAATTTAGTCTTTCCCATGTTTATGAATTAATTGAAGGAACATTCAGGAACACTTAGTCCCTACTAATTGAAGTTATTATCTGGTAACCCTGTTGGAAATGTCTGAAATATATATCATACTTCTAAAAAACATATTTATATTTCTCTTGTTAGATTTTATATTTACATGGCTTTTGAGCAAATTAATCCATTAAATTGGAGCAGTGAGGACACAAGGCTATAAGAATTTAAGGCATAGAACAGGTACATTTTTGAGGTAATAAATACTCAAGTCAACTCAGAGAAGATATTCTTAATCATTTATGACAAGTGATAGGACTTGATGATGAATCATAGGATGGGAATGATAAGGAGCCACTGAAAATGACTGACAAAGATATCAAAGAGTCATTTCATCTTTTTTCTAATTCTATGTACAGTAAGAATTATTAATATCATATACAGAAAGAAAGCATTTAGTGCAAAGATATTCATCACAAAACCTGCTTGTTTCAGCAGTATTATTACATGGATTCTCTTATGCACATTGCATATATGTATTTCTTCAGATTACCATAATAGCAATGTGATCTAATTTTTTCATATAAATTACAATATTTTCCATTAATGAGTATATGGTAGATGCCCTGTATCTTTCAGCAAGTTAAAACTTTTTCAAGATGTTTAAGTTAAGGCCAATATTCTCTGAGATGGTGACATTATAAGCACAATCTGCATATTATGTGTCATTCTGGGTCCTAGAGAGATGGAAGGAAGGATGAACACACACACACACACACACACACACACACACACGCACACACGTTTTTCAAGACAGGGTTTCTACGCGTAACTAGCTCTCCTGGAACTCACAGACATTCGGCTGCCGCCCTCTCTCAAGTGCTGGGACTGAAGGCCTTTTGACCTTTTCTACAATGCCTGGCCATAGAGATGGATATTTGCTTTTCAGATTCCCCTTCTTACTTTGCATTCTGTTAGGTGATCAGGTTGCAGGCTTTCTAAGAGAGTTCAGTAGGTCAAGTCAGTTGACTCCTTCCAGCTGCAACAGATGTCAGCTGGACAGTTGCTGAATCCCTGAAACCCAGCTCACAAGTAAGGACTTCTAAACAAAATCTGTCCAGGAGCAGCTAGGGACTGGACACATATGTCCCACTTATCTGCTACACTTATCTTCATAAACCTAGAAGGGAACTGAAGCCTATCAATGAGCAGAATCCAGAGTGAGCATAGCATACAAGATGGACACAAGTGTTTTCAGAGGGAGCTGAAAAGTCAGGAACCTTGAGGGAGAAGAGAGTACTGCTAGAACTGTGCTGTTGTACTCCTGACATTTCAGTAAACTAGTTAAAAAGCTGTCTAGTTGAAAACTGCTATTCTTTTATCACGATAGGGCCTTGCTTTTGTGAGTTTTGTTTAGATTTACTGGAGAGCTGGTTGTCCTGCCAGCATTGCTAAGCATCTGCATTTTCTCTAATTGTGTTTATTGTTTGCCTTCCCTCCAATCTCGATGCAGGCTAACTAAGGAAAGGGTACAGCATCACACAGATTCTGTGTCCAGTGGCCTTTGCAGGAAGGTTGCTTTGGAATTTGGCACGAACCCTTGCATGGGCCCCAGGAACTTTTCCCCCATAACTCTGGTTTTATCTTGCCTCCAGAGGTCGCTGTGTTGTTTTGTTTGTTTGTTTTTGTTTTATACACATAAGCGCATCTCTTACCCAAGTAGAATTCAGTTTCATCTCAGGCATAAACACCTTCAATTTTAAGAAGAGCTGTGTGCTCTCTCCGGTTCCAGAGACCTTGTTGTTGCCAGCAAATGTCCTTGTACCACAGCCTTCCAGCCATGTTTGCCTTTCAGAAGTCCTCTTCCCAGCAGGTTCCAGGAATCTGCTCCCAAAGTTCTCATCAGGAACTTCCCTCACCCCCCCCCCCCAGCACTTTGTTTTGTTTTTCATTCGTTTGTTTTCTTTTTTTTTCTGTGAATGTTAATATAAATTCTTTGTAGTTTTTCTGAAGATATTTAAAGATTTCATTTAAAAATACAAGAACCCATTAAATACCAGAAAGACAGTACAATTTTTAAAGTCTGATTTTACAGAGAAAAGCTGCAGTTTTCAAATCTAATACTTTTCTAGGCCGGAGGCTCTGCCTCAGTCAATCTTCTACAGATTACTGGCAAATATGACATTAATTTCTCTGTGACTCTCTTTCATGGAATCTTTCTAACAATAAAGATTAGGTTCCTCCTTTTCTATTTGCTAAAGACCCTAATGGTTCCTCTCACACTTTAAATTTCCTCTGCCCACTCGCCTCCCATCTAGGACAGGCACCAGAAGGCTTAGTTCCTTTGGCATGCCACACAGGGCCACACTGTCTCCATGGAGACACAATGAAGCTAAGATTTTTAATCACCATGTGTTTTTCATCTCTGACACTATTCAAGTGTAGAACAGTGCAGTCAGCCAGGTGTCCCATAATTCTTTTTTTGCAGCAGTGCAAGTCTAATTCTCTTTTGTATCCTCTAGAAGCAGTTCTTATTTCCCCCTTCTGATTTACAACTAGAGTGCTCGAAGCATTTCATCCTATATGTAAATTAAAAATGAGAACGTAGAACTGTTGTGATTTCATGTTAGATAACTTACTTCTTATGCAGGAATAAGGACCCTGATTTGTTTTTGTTAGATTTCTTGTACTTCTTATGCAGGCATAAATCTAATGTTTACATTAGTTTGAAATTAGGATGAGCTATTAATTTTTAAATAATTTTTTTGAATAAGCTCCACTACAGAACTATATCTCCATCAAGAAGCACATAATGACATAAAAATGAAAATAGTTATGTGTCAGTCGCCATGACAATCTTCACACATCTCATTAATTTCAGCGAACCGTAAGCAGGGCGTTAGAATCATCCTCTTTCTAACACACAGTAACCTACTCTGAGTATGAATGCATTTATGTAGCATCCAGAGTGACACGGTGAGTGATAGAACTCGGGTTTGGAATTCTGTTAGTCTTCCTTGTGTTTCTAACTGCGAATCTTTATGGAATTGACTGATTAAACAAAGATCAAAAAAATCAGGAAAATGCAGGAGATGCCACCTAAAACCTATGGTATTTTAGTTACTGAGAGTCCCTGAAGTGGACTCTTGTTAGCAGTGAGGTCTAGAGAGCACTGCCAAGAAGTCATGTGTGGAGGAGGAAGACATGACATTTCATTTCATTTGCTGGAATCCAGAGGCAAGACTCTTCAGGCAAAGCTCCCTTGCCTGGATTCCATTTCCGTTAGTCCATTCATTAACTCCCATGACTTTGGACACGTTGCTTGGCTCTTCTAAGAATTTTTTTAACTGAGTTGTATAGCACAACCTTTTCACGCATTTAGACGGTCAGGTAAAATAACATGTATAAAATATTTTTGATAGTTGATGGCAGTTGTCATTATAAAACACAAAGTACCTATTATTTTGTTGGATTTGACAAATATATGACTTTGAGTGATTTTCTGGTAAATGGAATAAAATGCAACCATTTTTAGTGATGTGAATGAAAAAGAATGTAGGTAAGAAAAAATGTTGACAGTAATTTCAAGGTTTCTGTGCTGAGAAACTAGCAAGATGTTAACACATAGGAAAAAATGAGAAAAAGTCTTAGCCAATCAACTTTTCCTTGTGGGCTTAAAATTTAATTGTCCTTGGAAAATATCTCTCACAAAAGGTAGAAAAGATGACTTTGGACTATGAGAGTGATCCTGCTCACAGGACACGTATGTCTTTGTTTATATGGGTGCTCTATTGTCTCCTTATTTATCTGAGCCTTACCCTGTTGCAAAGGTATGTAAACCTTTATTGTTTTGCAGTAAGATCTAAACTTATTCTTTCATAAAGGGAAAAGTATTCTGTGGAAAATCATGAACTTGTGGCAGAATGTACCTTCTATACCCTTAGTGTTGGAACTAGAGATGGCACAGTTATATTTTTGACCATGTTTTTGAGAAGGGGTCACATAGAGCTTGGTCATGAGCTCACCGTGCAGTTTAGAATGACCCTGAACTACTGCTCTTCCAGCCTCCATCTGAAGGCATGGGCCCCATACATGTTTACGTGATGGTAGTGAATGAATTCAGCTTTATGGTTGATAGACGAGCATTCTATCAATTAAGGTACATTTCCCAGGACTTATTTTAAATTTTTTTTATCAAGTCTGTTTTGAAGAGGGAAACGGGTCTGTGATTTTAGAAAAGCAGCTAAGCATATAACCCAACAGCAGTGTTTGTAAAAGTCACTTGGTAATAAAATAACTGTGTGATGATCCTTTAGTGAAATGATGGTGAATTAGGGACTCAGTGACCTGGATTCTTGACTATCTTTGTTACTAAGTTTCAAACTCAACAGTAGTTACCTGTGACCGAGGACCTAACGTGTCATATTTACACGTTACATATTTACATCTGTCGCTTCATGTACTTAGTGGTGCTTTGATGACATTTTATACACTTCAGTTTATTTCACAGCAGGAAAAGGAAAATCTCAGAGAAAAATCTGACCAAGATTTCTCTCTTTTGTCACATTTTAACCAAACACTATGTCTCTTATGAGGAAGTAGGATGGCCCAGAGGAGTTAGTGTTTTTCTTTTCTGAAGACAACAACCACCTGTTTTAAACATTATTTACGTATTTACTAATTAGAGATGGTATAAAATAACCTAAATATTGTAAATGATGTGCTGAATACAGAACACATATAATATCCATTAGGAAGCCTAACTTGCCTCAGTACTTCTTCAGCTAATGGTACTTAAAATGAAATGCTGCTTCTAAAATTTTATGAGATAAGTAGGTGGATTATTAATCCTCTAATATGGAAAAAGGTAATTATCGAAAAGTAATTCAAGTCAATTAAATTCCTTATGTTATTTCTATTTTATGAGTTAAAAAAGACAGAC